TGTGTGCGTAATCCTGACTTTTTCAGCTTGTAAGAGTACATATCAGCACTACTCTCACCTTTGTATGTTGCTCTTGTATCATGACCATCAAGATGCAATGTAACATGCTTAAATAATGGAGGATTCTTTTCCTTTGCAGACAAAAGGCGTATTTTAATTGTGGAGAACATTGTTGCAATACAGTTGGTGATGTACTTGTTGTGCAAAGTATATTCTTTCTTATAAAACACAGAGTGCATTGCATGAAAACTAATTTTTGGCATGTGTGGTTCCATTGCTTCCATAGACAGTCCTTTGACAAGATGATAGAGCATTAAAAGACCTTTCTCCACTTCTTTGTATGGACCAGGATACTTAACCTTTGGCCAGATGTCAACAAGAAAGAAGTACACTGGAATAGGACCAAGGCGTCGATTTAGGGTTTCTTTTATTTCTGGCATATACCCAATTTCCTTGCTTACAGTACGATGATTATTACGTGGTGTAATTGTTGGCCATCCAGCGTTGAGGAAAGTCCAATGGTCATCAAGCAGTTGTTGGAAGTGTTTTGTTAGATCCATAATAATATTTATGTATTGGATTGTCATGACGTTAACCAACAATAACAATTTTTTAAAAAGGCTTATACTTAACTGCATACACAACAGCATGTAGGATGGTATCTATCATATAGCAAGCACATAGTTGAGAATACAAATATATTTTTATATTTTTTTCGGTAGCGGCCCCTTCATGTGCAGAGGATATAAAAAGGCATATAAAAAATATCCAAAGCCCAAGGAACGGAGTGTTTACTTCCATAACTGACATATCTCTTCATAGTGGGCAACAGAACACAGAATAAAATAGCAATAGATAGCACATGTTTTTTTAAAATGTAATCTCTCCCCTGTATTTCGCCCCAAAGATACAGTTGAGAGTACAAGTGCTTTAGATGATGACATACAAGAACTACTCTGGCGAATCTTGCAGTGAGGGTTACAGGTTAATAGTAGATGGACATATTCAAGAGTGTGGTGTGCGAAAAATAAGAAGACTTTGTTGTTTGGAGAATAGGTTGGTGTTTAGTAGGATAGTTGAACAAAAAATGTTACAATGGTTGTCTTATATGCTTGGTATCATATATACATTCTCATCCCATAGTTGCTATGGATATTGTCGAGATCTACAGAGATGTAACAAACACCATATGATAATTTGGACTTGAAAGGCCTCCTAAAATTAAACATCACAATAATCACGAGGTCATCCAAAATGCGTTCATATCAAATATCATAACTGTGGTAATAACTACAGTTTGTCAGCTGTCGAATCGAATGCCGAATGTCAAATGTCGAATGTCGAATATTGTTGAGAAAGTGTAGCAATAACGCCATTAAAAACGTATCAGCTACCCTTTCTTTCCAACAACCAATGTTTGTTAAAGCCACTATGCTACTTTTTTAAAAAATCGGGATCCAACTTTTTTTTAAAACTACCACTACATCATCACCAGTATCACAAGTGCTATATTGGATATACATATAGGATATATCATGAAAAGGAGATATTAGTAACCATCGCTAATTATATAAACACGAAAACAAATGCTCTACTAGGAGGCCATCCATGTTCGGCTCCACCAACCATAGACTACAGTATAAAAATATCTGTCAACACCTATTAAAACAGTGTGTTCCTTGAGAGTACAACAAATCTCATCAGCTTTTTCCTTCCACCAGTCTCCATTTTCTACATTCACCACCACTACTTTGTAACATCATCTACTTTAGCTGAGAAAGCCTTGGACATGATCATCTCATATTGGATCCTAGATATTACAGATAGTAATTTCCTTTCCAATATGAGATGATCATGTCCAAGGCTTTCTCAGCTAAAGTAGATGATGTTACAAAGTAGTGGTGGTGAATGTAGAAAATGGAGACTGGTGGAAGGAAAAAGCTGATGAGATTTGTTGTACTCTCAAGGAACACACTGTTTTAATAGGTGTTGACAGATATTTTTATACTGTAGTCTATGGTTGGTGGAGCCGAACATGGATGGCCTCCTAGTAGAGCATTTGTTTTCGTGTTTATATAATTAGCGATGGTTACTAATATCTCCTTTTCATGATATATCCTATATGTATATCCAATATAGCACTTGTGATACTGGTGATGATGTAGTGGTAGTTTTAAAAAAAAGTTGGATCCCGATTTTTTAAAAAAGTAGCATAGTGGCTTTAACAAACATTGGTTGTTGGAAAGAAAGGGTAGCTGATACGTTTTTAATGGCGTTATTGCTACACTTTCTCAACAATATTCGACATTCGACATTTGACATTCGGCATTCGATTCGACAGCTGACAAACTGTAGTTATTACCACAGTTATGATATTTGATATGAACGCATTTTGGATGACCTCGTGATTATTGTGATGTTTAATTTTAGGAGGCCTTTCAAGTCCAAATTATCATATGGTGTTTGTTACATCTCTGTAGATCTCGACAATATCCATAGCAACTATGGGATGAGAATGTATATATGATACCAAGCATATAAGACAACCATTGTAACATTTTTTGTTCAACTATCCTACTAAACACCAACCTATTCTCCAAACAACAAAGTCTTCTTATTTTTCGCACACCACACTCTTGAATATGTCCATCTACTATTAACCTGTAACCCTCACTGCAAGATTCGCCAGAGTAGTTCTTGTATGTCATCATCTAAAGCACTTGTACTCTCAACTGTATCTTTGGGGCGAAATACAGGGGAGAGATTACATTTTAAAAAAACATGTGCTATCTATTGCTATTTTATTCTGTGTTCTGTTGCCCACTATGAAGAGATATGTCAGTTATGGAAGTAAACACTCCGTTCCTTGGGCTTTGGATATTTTTTATATGCCTTTTTATATCCTCTGCACATGAAGGGGCCGCTACCGAAAAAAATATAAAAATATATTTGTATTCTCAACTATGTGCTTGCTATATGATAGATACCATCCTACATGCTGTTGTGTATGCAGTTAAGTATAAGCCTTTTTAAAAAATTGTTATTGTTGGTTAACGTCATGACAATCCAATACATAAATATTATTATGGATCTAACAAAACACTTCCAACAACTGCTTGATGACCATTGGACTTTCCTCAACGCTGGATGGCCAACAATTACACCACGTAATAATCATCGTACTGTAAGCAAGGAAATTGGGTATATGCCAGAAATAAAAGAAACCCTAAATCGACGCCTTGGTCCTATTCCAGTGTACTTCTTTCTTGTTGACATCTGGCCAAAGGTTAAGTATCCTGGTCCATACAAAGAAGTGGAGAAAGGTCTTTTAATGCTCTATCATCTTGTCAAAGGACTGTCTATGGAAGCAATGGAACCACACATGCCAAAAATTAGTTTTCATGCAATGCACTCTGTGTTTTATAAGAAAGAATATACTTTGCACAACAAGTACATCACCAACTGTATTGCAACAATGTTCTCCACAATTAAAATACGCCTTTTGTCTGCAAAGGAAAAGAATCCTCCATTATTTAAGCATGTTACATTGCATCTTGATGGTCATGATACAAGAGCAACATACAAAGGTGAGAGTAGTGCTGATATGTACTCTTACAAGCTGAAAAAGTCAGGATTACGCACACAGGTAGCAATGGATTGTAATGGCATGGCTTTATTTGTCTCCAAATCTGCATCTTGCAAGAACAATGCTGATGGAACAATGCTGCTAACGATGAAGTTGGACAAGAGAGTGCATGAGATGGATTGCATTGCTCTCGATGGAGGGTATCCACAGTTCTTAAGGAGGCTTATAGATGAGTCTGACACTCTTAGAATCCAAAATTTCGCTCATCCATACCGTAAACAGAAGAACAAGGAACTTACACAGGAAGAAGCGTTATACAATACCACCTTTGGTAGTTTCCGCTCGCAGATGGAATCTCTGTTTGCAGACCTTGGTTCCACATTTGAGAAACACAACAACCGTACTCCTGTGTTGGTGGATAAGAAACAAACATATAATTTGCAGTTGAAGTTATCTTTGTTACTCTTAAACATGAAAAAGATGGTTGCTTTGTTGAAGATTTCTGCAGAACCAATTCATACAGCTTGGCTTCGCGAAGGCTTCGAGTATCCGACGACAGAGAACGACGTTGAGCAACCAATGGGATATGTTGATGTTGGTGCGCTAGTGGAGGATGGAAATACCATGGCAGAACTCCAGAGCAAATTTCTTGGTATTAAACTTCATGGTGATGTTAATGTTGATGAGGACACACCAATGGATCAAGCAGTAATAATGCAACCCGGCCTTTCCATTGAGCTTAGAAGTACGAATCGACAAATGGATGTTAATGGTAATCTGTAGACTTATTGCAGGTTTTTAAAAGAATAGACATACATGGCCTATTTAGTCAGCTTTAAGATACGGTATTAACTGCCAAGACGCTAATATGCACCGGTATCTATTATTAAAAGCCATGGTATTATTGTAGTAGATCGGATGCTATTCTATGCTATTCTACAGTATTCCTTTTTATTTAACAAAGAGGATAAACACATGTACAAACCTACGTCATAAAATAATACTACATTCTTAACCATTTTTAAACCCCGTCTTTAATGCCAAGCAGTCTTAATAAGCAAGATCTACGTCATACGAGGAACACTACATTATTAACCACATAGATGCCTTTTTAAAACTCTTTTGTTACTAAGCGCCAAGCAGTGCTAATAAGCAAGCGCTATTAATGTCCATTGTGGCAGTGTTCCTGAATTAGTATAAATAAAGGAGTCCACTTCCCTCTTGCTTAATCTTTATCTAGTAACCAACCAACAATTATCCATATCTATACAACCATCCATACCTATACAACCATCTTTTATTGCAATTCTTTATATCAGTGTACTAAGCAGCTGCAATCTACCACACATAAACTGAAAACTCATTCACACCCACCATACCACAAGTACAATCCATATTATTCATATCCAAAAACATGAAGTACGTTCAGCTTACAATCGAGCTCATCACCAAGGCCTTTGAGACATTCTCCTCTAAGAAGGGAGTGGAGTTTAACAAGAAAGATGCAAATAAGATCTTTAAGGCGCTCGATGAGGATGAGGAAGTAGAGAGATACTACTTTTGTGGTGCAAAGTGCACCAAGTCCAAGCGCAAATGCATGAAGGAAGTTGACGATGAAGGCATGCATTGTTATGTCCACGATCCTGCGCGCAAGTGTCAAGGCACAACTATTAAGGGTGCTAATTGTGGTAGTGTAGCCAAACTTGGTCAAACATACTGTGGACGTCATCAAGATCAAGATAGAGGTTATATAAAACGTAGTAACAACAACGCACCTGTCGACAAGCGTACTAAGTCTTCCAAGGCTTTAAAGAAGACACATACTTCTAAGTTTGTGTCTTCCGATGACGATATGACTTCCGAGGATGAAGAACCAAAGAAGCGAAAGAGAAACAAGCAGGAGTCATCGGATGAAGAGCCGTCCGATGATGATGATGAAGAAGATATAATTGCCGTCTCCTTTCCGTTGAGTCCAAAGGTAGTTGACATAACGTCCAAGAAAAATGTACCACTCGCTAATACATGTATATGGACGCGTTATGCAACTAATCCAGCTTTCCTGTATGCAAAAAGCTTTACTGTAAATGGCAAGTACATTATTAGGCTAAAGGAAAAGAATCTCTACATTGCATTGTGTCCACCTAAGCTCATGGGCAAGAATCTCCCTGCGCCAGAAATATCTGAGAAAGAGGCACGCATATTGGCCAAGATGGGTCTTCAAGAGGCAACTTCAGCAGATGTAGAAAAAATAGAAGAGTCTTCTGCTGATGAGAATTCTGACGATGATACAGATGATGGTGATACGTCTGATAATGCTGACTCTGACGATGATTCCTCTAAAGATAAAGACTCTGATGATGGCAAGTCCAATAACAGACCTGATGTAGAATCTGGAGATGATACCTCTAAGGATAACCCTGATGAAAAACTATCTCATAAAAAGCCATCTAAGGATGATGAGAAGAAGACTTCTCGAAAGAAAAGGCATTCAGAGATGCCCAAAAATGCAGAGCCATCTTCTAATGTAGATGTTTCTAAGGATGAAAAAGATGAACACACATTTGCACTGGCCACAACGGTGCGTAACATTAGATCAGAGAAAGACATACCACTTGCAAAGGATGGAGGATGGATGGTTCATCCTAATAACGACATGCTTGAGTATGCAACTAACTTTACGATGAAGGCTAAGTACATTGTCAAGCTATGTGGAAAGAATACATACGTTGGCCTGTTTACGCTTGATCATCTGCGTGGCGGTGGTGATGTTCCAGAGATGGATATCTTGGAACGCTCCATGCTTAGCAAGATGAAACTTCAAGAAATGTCTGATGAAGAGAGAAAGATGCTTTTCAACGAGGAGGTCGAAGTAGAAGAGGAACTACCAGTGGAAGGACCGACAGATATATCCAAGATGAAATGGAAAAGGTTTCACAAGCAGCAATTGGAGTATTCCAAGAATGTACTTGTAAATGGAAAGCACATTCTCAAGATCCGCAAGCAAAACATTGTAGTTGGTTTGGTGACTGATGACCACATTGGTGCAGAGAATGTCGACTATGATAATCTTAACCAAAAGGAAAAAGAAAAGATCTTTGCTATGGGCTTTAAGCCACAATGGTCTAAGGATAGGTCGACAGAGAAAGGTGAACCGGTAGAAAAAATAGATGATGAGGTGCAAGAGTCGAATATTAAGGAAACTTTAGATGAACTTGTAGAAAAAGTAGATGATGAGGTGCAAGAGTCGGATGTTAAGAAAACTCTAGAAGATGGTGGACCTATGGAAAGCGAAAATGTGAATGCCTCAAGTGTTTACACTACAAAAGACCATCATGATTTTCTGAAGGCAATGGGAGAAGTATATAGCAAAATAACAGCTATCGAAGAAGAACTCCGCGAGGAATACGTTTCGGCAGATGGTAATGCAGAAGAAAAAGAACTAATTTTTCACCTAGGTTTGTTGGAGAAAGATTATTCCAACTACGAAACATGGCACATGGATAAGTTTGGTTCCCGCGAACCACATTCCGATATATTATGTAAGTTCGCAAAAGAAGGATCTCACAACAGAAAAACCATAGTGCAAAGTGTATTAGATAGTATTCAAGCCAAAGAGAAAAGTACGATGGAAGAAAAGAAGCCTCTTGAAGTAACATTTGAGACCGCAGAAGAGTAGATCAAGAATTTTAAAAACTGTAGATATACCACTTGCACAAATAAAGCTTTTATATATGGAATACACATGTAATATTATCCTCGTCCCTTCCAATGAGATTCACCAGATATATTACCCATCTTTTTAAAAACTTCCACCATCCTTTGCACAATTTACAATATTTCTTTCTTGATCACAGTGGTGTTTATCCACAATCTACTTATATTTAACATTACGAAAATTACAATAACTATATCTAATATGTTCTACAATGCATGCACTCTTTATGACATTTATTTTTTCACCATTGGCATGTTTACCAACGATCTGTATAGGAGGCCGCATATCAACAAATATTATAACAATCGTAACTTCCTACAAAGTATGTTACATCAAACATTATAAAAACCACGATAACTTCATCTGAGACGTTCCACAATGCATGCACCCTCACCATTATTGCATTACCCATATTTTTTTAAAACATTCACCTAGGAGGCCTTTCAGGTCCAAGTTATCATATGGTGTTTGTTACATCTCTGTAGATCTCGACAATATCCATAGCGACTATGGGATGAGAATGTATATATGATACCAAGCATATAAGACAACCATTGTAACATTTTTTGTTCAACTATCCTACTAAACACCAACCTATTCTCCAAACAACAAAGTCTTCTTATTTTTCGCACACCACACTCTTGAATATGTCCATCTACTATTAACCTGTAACCCTCACTGCAAGATTCGCCAGAGTAGTTCTTGTATGTCATCATCTAAAGCACTTGTACTCTCAACTGTATCTTTGGGGCGAAATACAGGGGAGAGATTACATTTTAAAAAAACATGTGCTATCTATTGCTATTTTATTCTGTGTTCTGTTGCCCACTATGAAGAGATATGTCAGTTATGGAAGTAAACACTCCGTTCCTTGGGCTTTGGATATTTTTTATATGCCTTTTTATATCCTCTGCACATGAAGGGGCCGCAAAGAGCAGGAAATCGTACTCCATCCCCGGGATCGACCTCCCGAGTTGATGAAGGATGATGTCGTTATCGTCTTGGATTCCATTCACTCGTGCATGCCGAAGGATACGAGCGGAATAACGGTTATACGTCTCGCCCATATTGCGTCCCATGTCTGCCATGTTCCGCATGTTCTCCAAACGTTCCTCTTTGGTGAGGCAGATGCTGAGGAATACCTTCTCCGCCATGTCCCAACCGATGTTTCCTTCGATGGCGGCGAATCGACGTTGTAGCTCTTGTTGATAATGGTCGTCGTTAGTGAGGACGATGAGATACCGATGACACTCGTTTTCGAAGGTATCCATGCCGAGACGTGTTTTGAGATGGGTTGCGAAGCGCTCGAGAAAGACTCTGGTCTCATTGGTTTCATAGGCTGTGGCTGGATTCAACGAGAATCTGGGCATGTCGGGTGTTGGTTTGATGGCCGCTTGTTGGGTCATTGATGTTGCGACTACCGCCGTTGGGGTGTTGTTGGCAATTGTTGCGGTCGCTGCTGTTGGCGTTAATATGGTGGAGTGTGCTGAGATGGTGGACCCTGGGTGCTTCTTTATCCTGAGCTCATACAGCGATGACTCCAGTTGCTTGATCAATTGTGCATTGTCTTTCTCCTTGTCTTTGTTGATAGCAATTTGTTGCTGATAGTGTTGGAGCAGGTGCTGAGGTGGTCGTCCTGCCAGAAGAGTCGACATGTACACAATCTGTTCGGATAGAGCGATGTTCTCCGCTTTGAGACTGGCTAGCGTGTTGGTTGCGACTTCGCGGAAGTTGGATGGTGGTGTGTCGGGATATAGATCGGTGGCACCAGTATCCGAGTCGACTTCCATTTCTTTGTCTCCTACATCGGAATCGTTATCCTCGGCGTTCTTGTCCTGCCATGTTGTTCCGACCGGTGCAAGTAATGCATCTGGCTCAGTGCCGCCAGCGGAAGAGTTGATCGACGTTGTCGGTTCCATGACTTCAGCGGTGGAAGATGTAGCTCCTTCCGTGATGGGGTCGTTAGGCGTTACAATAGTGCCGATGGCGATGGCTGCTGCTGTTGGTGCCATGATGGTGGTGGTTCGAGGTCGTTTGCCGTTGCTCTTTGCTATTTTTCCCATAGTTGATTCATTTCTGTTTTTTGAATGGGGTAGCATAATGAGCAATTAGTCTTTTTTGATTCAAGATCACGTTATGACAATGATCTTTCTTTTGTTCTTCCGATCTCTCTTGTTATAAATCTGGTCCGTTGGACTCTACTACACTATAATAGTTCGTGTGTTATTCAAGAGAGTGCTTTGGTTCCGTGTTATAGATACCGCGCTTGTTGATGGACGTTGTCCTTGGGCTTTGATGGATTGAGTGGTTTGGATGGATGGATGTAATGTGTGATACTTCGAATAAACGATACCCTTGAATCTTCACTTAAAAAAATGAAAAATATAGCGTACCTTGGAGTAAGTGAGAAAGAAGATGGGGGTTCGTTTATTACTAAGTCTAGGGTTTAAATACTAAGGGACACTGCCCTTAATTATCTCACTGAGTACGCTTCTTGATAATGTACAGTCACGAAAATGCGACAGTCCAAACTTTGTCATGGAATTCTCTGAGACTGATGAGCATGGTCATGGTAATGTAATAACATACGGTTGAAGAAGTGAGCTGCCATATTGATGTATTGTGCTTTGCTGACTTTTATACCACGATCAATGTCTCATACTGTATTATCACAGGTACCCACATTGCAGCCATCATTGGAGGCAGGACATATGGCGTCGCCAAGCTTGTAACTATCGTCAGTATCAAGGCTTTCAACACCAGAGGCAAAGGATCGAGCGATAACGTCATTAAGGCCCTCGAGTGGGTCGCTCAGGAAGCTGTGGGTGGACGTAGTGTGGTCAACATGTCCTTCAGGTGTCCTAGAAACAAGAGCATCGATAAGTTGGTTACGGATCTCTTCAACAACAACATCCTCTCAATTGTCGCCGCTGGGAACGATCGCAATCAGAACATCAGCTACGCCTCTCCATCGGGTGCGCCATCTGCCTATACGGTCGCCGCCATTGATGACATGAATTCCTTTTTTGTGAACAACTCGAGGGGAGCAGGAATCAGAGTTTATGCTCCCGGAGTTCGAATCGCATCTGCCGGGATCAGACAACAGAATGTGCATGTAGCTTCAGGAACCTCTATGGCCGCTGCCCACGTTACCGGTGTTGCCGCCCTGTATCTAAGCACCAACGCGGGTCCGATGACCTCCCAACAACTCATTCAAATGCTTAATGCAAATGCCACCCAGATCCCAGGTATCTCTCGGGGCATCATCTTCAATCGATAAATGATCAACTTTTGTCTCCTCGATTTCCCACATCACTCAATCCAAAACACTATAAACATCACAAACCAATGCCAATGAGTTAGAGGACTAGCAATTAATACTGGTATGTTATTGGGTGTCAAGTGTGATCCCCTCTCTAAGTAGAAGGCTTTGTTGATACAAAAGGATCCCACGTGATTGAACAATCCGTCGACAGTTAAAACAGAGACCAATGAATCAGTCATTCACTCGTCATGTATCTTCTTTCTTCTACTCCATCTCTTTCTCCATGTCCTTATCCTTAATTCAAATACAAATTATAAGATTGTAAGTAACTTAGTACTTTTGTCCACCACGTTACTAGAACTGAGTAAAACAGAGAAGCCAGAGTACACCCGAAAATAGACGGGAATACGTACATTAGGACAACTGGCTTGTGCCAGCCAAGCGTTCATAGCGACGTTGCTTTTTGATCCTTCGATGTCGGCTCTTTCAATCCTTGCTTTATTAGCATTCGAGGTCGCGTTGTAATGCTTGTTCACTTGGACTAATTTTTATTTTATTTAAGGGTTTTGATTTTTACCCCAATCCATATCCGGATATGGTCTGTGCACAAGCGTGTGAAATAAGGGTCTGTGTCAGAAATATCATTACTTAAGGGGTTTACTTTTTCAAACTCCATACCTGAGCATGGTTTATGCGGTCTCTCATGAAATCTTTTTGTACTTAAGGGGTTTAACACATTAGATGCGAAACAATGAACCCACAGTCTCTTTGATGCGAGATTTACAGTGGGTTACAAAACTGTACAAATGTTTTGAACTCTTATCTTTCATACCTTTTTTCTCAAGAATGATATTGACATCCAGACCTTTCTAGATCTCAGCAAACTTGTATGTCATTGTTACGTCAACTGGTGCAATTGAAATAATCCTTCCATCATTCATGCTATTTTTTTTCTAGAAAGAACTACAGCAAGTCATTTATACAGTTTTGTAACCATGACATATTTGTTATATCATTCAACATTTACATCCATCTTTTCTTTTATATACTTGGACAATCGTTTTATTTTTCTACTTTCTTACACCTCATGATACTCTTCATTAACACATCAAATATGAAGCCAATCAAACCATCGACTGTCAAGACTGCCCTTCGCTTACTTGAGCAGCCCAAATCTATCCGTCAGGTTGCTGCAGAGGTTGGAATATCCAAGACATCCGTCCAGAACATTTCCAGGACATTGGCGCCAACCAGGACCAAGAGCAAAGGAGGTCGACCACGAAAGTTCAATTATCGAAACGCATTTTATATTCGACTTTTGATCCATCGTGGCATAATCGACACAGCTGCACAAGCTACCAGACGATACAATGACGAGAACGAGGATCCGGTGTCAGCCAATACTGTGCGTCGAGCCCTGAGGGATATTGGTCTAAAAGCCAAGAGACGGGTCAAAAAACCAAGGCTGACGAAACCTCAAAAGAAGGCGCACTTGGACTTTGCGCTGGAGCATAAAGACTGGACGGAGGCTGATTGAAAGCAAGTAATTTGGTCCGACGAGTCCAAGATCAACAGAATATCTTCAGATGGCATGCGCTACACGTGGGTAGTGTTGTGTACGCGCACAACATGTGTGAGATGTTTAGCCTCTGCTAGTCGCAGCAGTTGCATGTTTACTCACGTGATAAGAGGAGACTATTTAACAAAGACAGATAGAAAATAAAGAGGATACGTTTCTGTCCAGCTCAAATCTACTTCCATACACAATTGTCTATCACCTTATCACTCTCACTTCATTATCATTCATATCTTTATTGTTGACACAACAGGTAGAGTCCAATAAGGAACCAAAGGTCAAAGCAGGCGATGTTCACCCAAATTTGATTATGCCCACAGTTAAGCATGGTGGTGGATCGATTATGGTTTGGGGCTGTATGACTTGGGATGGACCCGGTTTCTTGGCCAAGATCGACTCTACACTGGACTCGGCACTATATATTCGCATCCTTCAGGATGAGCTATTGGATACCATCGATTGGTACAACATCGATCCAGAGCAATTTATCTTCCAACAAGACAATGATCCCAAGCATACCGCCAAGGCAACCAAGTCCTACCTTACCTCCATTGAGTTGACAGAGGCGACAGGAAGACTACTCACATGGCCTTCTAATTCGCCAGACCTTAATCCTATAGAGCACTTGTGGGAACACTTGAAAAAAAAACTTCGCGAGCGTGGGACTATTCCTGAGGGCATGCTTGACCTGTGGAAACGAGTGAATGAGATCTGGGAGGATGAGACGCCGATAGAGGTCTGCCGCAATCTGATTCGGAGTATGCCTGAACGGATGCAAGCTGTCATCAAGGCGAAAGGTGGCAATACACGATTTTGATATGCTAATAAAAATCATGGTTACAAAACTGTACAAATGACCCACTGTTGATCTTTCTAGCAAAAATTCGGAATGAATAACAGAAGGATTATTTAATTGCACCAGTTGACGTAACAATGACATACAAGTTTGCTGAGATCTAGAAAGGTCTGGATGTCAATACCATTCTTAAGAAAAAAGGTATGAAAGATAAGAGTTCAAAACATTTGTACAGTTTTGTAACCCACTGTATTATTTCCCAAGAGTGCATACGGCGAACGCAGTGCAGGTGAGGTATAGTAGCGAAGTGGGTGAACGATGAAGAAATAAGCAATGGCAAATGATTAACCAGAGCAAAGGTAGAGAGCAAAAAGAGATGATGATCAAAAGAGTAGAGTGGAGGGGCAAAGTAGATCACTGTAAAATGGGTGAGAGAGCAAAGGATGAGAATAATTGACAAGACGACGATGAAAGGGGAGACAAAGTGGGGGTGATGAAAAAGGGAGTTGTGGCAATGGCGAGGGATGATGAGACGGCGTGAGAGTTCTGGCAGCAGCGCGTGATGATGAGCGCGTGGGAGTGGTGAAGGGAGAGAGGGGTGTGGGAGTGGTAATAAGATGGTATGAAAGTGTGGGCGTGAGAGCAGCAGAAGGAGAGCAGTGGACAGGTGCAGGAGACAGAAACGGATGATCTTTATTGTACATGGAAGCCGGGGTATTTATATATGCTACGCTATAGGCTCCAGGATGGTGGTGATGTGGTTAGATGGGAAGGTGGTTAGATGGGAAGGTGGTTAGATAGAGAGGTGGTTAGATGGGGAGGTGGTTAGATGGGGAGCAGACTATTATATTACTGTTGCAGTGGGGGGGCAGTGCCGTGCATGCAGTCAAGGAGTGGAAACGAGGATTGTGGAGTGTGAGTGAAAAGGAGGTTCGTTGCTCGCAGCAGCATACAACAGCAGCAAAAGTAGCTAAGCCCAGAGCGAGACAAACTGGCAGGTCGTTTGAGACAGAGAGAGCGAGAGGCAGAGCATGAAAACCGGTGTGGATCAAGACTCGTTTTTGGACAAAAGACAATTTATTGAGAGGTAGTAAGATGCTTGCTGTACAGGGCCATTGGCAGGGAGAAAAGGGGCCGATCATAGGGTTAAGTGCGACATGCGCCTACTCGCGCGCTCTGAGAGGGAGCGAAAGGGAGGAAGAGAGGAAGTGAGAAGGAGAGAGGGAGGAAGAACCATAGTCGACTTGTTTACTTGACACGAGAAAACTTCCATCCCCACAAATGGTCTTCGGTTCTGCGGTGGACAAAGTTGAGATAGTAGGGCTCCTCCTTGCCCGTGTAGTCGTAGCCGACAACCAGGGTCCTGTTGAAGACCTTCTTGGGGTAGGCGAGCTCGTAGCTGGTGAAGGGACCACCCGCAACACGGGTGACCTTGAACCGCTGTTTGGTGGTGGTGACACCGACATAGGCACCAGGAAGAGCACCCGAGCGGCCAGGAGAGAGGTACTTGCCTCGAGCACCCTTGGACTCGATTGTGACCACGTTGTTGCCGCAGTGCTTCACCTTCCAGATCTGGAACTTGGAATCTTTGTTCAGGGGGAAAGTGCGGACACTGCCTGTGCGAGCATCGGGCTCGGCCGTGGCGAAGCGGTGGGTCTGAGGGGCCTATGTAAAGGTGCAAAGGTTGGAAAGTGAAAAGAAAGAAATGGCGCGAAAAGCAGCTCATTGAAGAGGGTATATGGGTGAGTGTGTGGCAGGGTGGTAGGCACGGTTCAGAATAGGACGATCGACCCTGCATGACTGCTGATGCTGTTGTTGTTGATGCTCCCGGAAGGGATGTGGGATTAAAGGCAGGCATACCTGGAAGTGGCCATAGTAGAATCGGTACTCGCCGCTTGGGAGATAGATCTCCGCCGACAAGACGGCCTGGACAAGGGCGAGTAGAGTGACAAGGGCAAGGATGGCCAGATGCATTGTTGGACCAAGAGATGTGAGATGTTGGTGTTTTGTGGTGTGGTGTGGTGTTGTGTGGCGGCGAAGAAAAAGAAGTGAGAGAAGGAGAGAAGGCACTCGTCTTTATATACTATTGCCATCTACCACACTCTCATACACACACACACCTCCCTCCTTCGTCTACCGATCCCCGTGAAGCGGCTTCCCGACCGAACCAAATATGCCATCATTGCATACAAACAATACTTTGACAATCTGCAAAAGAAATGAGCAAAAGTAACCTTCTTCCCACAGTCCTTTTTGTTTGGGCTCAACACTAAACCGCGGCACATCAAAGGCACTCAATTCGCTCTACAATCGAGTGAGCACCTTGATCTCTCTTCTTGAAGAGAAGAGGAAGAGCACAAGCGTAAATCCGCCTATATTTAGCCTCGGCGTTCGTGCACTTTGCCCACACCATGAGATCTATTGATGGCATGTGAGTGTTTCTCTCTTCTCTCTTGTCCCTCTGGATGATGTGGAATCAACACCCAGCACAGATTTAACGTTTGTCTTTGGAGGTCCCTGCGCTCTCAACCACCCAAAAGATTTCGACTCCTTGCGTACGGTTTCCAACAACGCGTGAGCAGGGTAACAAGAGACAACGAGACAGCGGACAAAACTAAGAGAGCATGGCCCCACACAACTTTTCATCGGCGCTTTTTTTCTGCTTGGTGCAACCCGGTGTGTGCTGTTTGCACCGTGCAAGCTTGATGAATAGTAACAATCTCTTCCTTGTGATCCATAACACCAATGTCTTTCATCCTTCTTCGCATTTGCAAGCAGAAGGAGAGAAGCAACAACAATAGCAACAACAGCAACGACTCAATTGCTAGGGATACGTTGAACAGGTATTTAAAGAATGGGCCGATGAATAGATAACGAACGTGTCGACGGCGAACAACTGGACAGGAGAGAGAGGAAGCGGTGATAGGTACGGAAAGAAGGGACAGACAGAAGTGAGGGATTGAGATGAGGGAGTAGAAGTGAGACAAGGAGGGAGGGACACGCTCGTCTTGTTGGGGTGAAATGGCGAGGCCTCCCCCTTGCTGCTTCACAGCCTGCCGCGATGCATGCGAGTTTGTTGTGTGGGAAACAACATTCTCACTGGCGTACCTATTCAATGACATGCATTTGCCAATATTACACCCTTTCTCTTTTCCTTTCTCACTCTCTTTCGCCCTACGTGTTGGTACTACACTCACTCAAAATGAGCAGCAGTAAAAGGAGAGTCCGGGTGGGCTTGCGAATTCGTCCGACAGCCTTGCACATACTCCCGGGGCCATTTTTGTTGCTTGCCTGTTTGCACAGAATAGCCCAACCCAGCGGCTCGATAGCCTAGTAAAAAAAAAAGAGAAAAAGAGAGATGGGCAGTGGATCACATTGGTGTCATTGAGAAATAAGGTTACTAAAGTAACGAACATCCCTGTCGATTTTGGGTGGTCTGAACGGACAAGGCGAGATGGATGGTTGTAGAGTGCGTGCTGTTTGAAATTTGCCAGGTTCAGCAGGCAGCAAAGCAAGGTCAGCCCTTGGTCTGAACACGACCGCCTTTTTTTAGGATTCACTTTGTCACCGAAAGTTTATTTTTATCAGGACAACAAGGGTCAAAGCACTCCTATATTGACCCGCTTCCTCTTTTCCGATCTTTTAGTTGATTTTAATTCATTCTTTTTATTCAGTCTCGGTCATGTGACGCGTCGAACCTCTGTATTTTGAACGCATGTGGATGGTGCGGAAGAACACTAGAAAAAAAACCATCTCGTCACCTCGACTTTTCATCACTATAGAACGGAAAGGATGTCTCGTCTCTTCATCATCCAACTATTGCAGTATTGTCCTTTTTCTTGGATTCTCCTTACTCCTCATGACTGAACACAAAAACCTGAAACCTGTATCCCAACGCGACAAAAACCCCCGCATAATCATGGCAGAAAGACTCAACTTCTCCAACAGTGGCTCTCTGACCGTGACAACTGTCGAAAAGTATCTGGCTGCGAACTTTCAGTGGCAAAGTACGAGCGAGCTCATGGCTGGAAACCCCACATCATTGAACGGCTTATGAAGGATAGAGAGGAGCTAGAGGCAGTGGACCCCGAGTTGGCCGATGAACAACGCCGGACTGCCAACGTCCATTTTACGCTTTGGAGATAGTCCTAGTAGATTTGATCAAGGATATTGTCGTGAATCTAGACGCGAGTCAAGGTCGACCTTGTTCTCGAGAGCGGGGCAAGTGTGAGGAATGGAGAGCAGGGGTGAGAGAGATATTTCGAGAGAGGTGATGGTCAGGTGCAAGGAGTGTTGAATTTAGGGGAAACTCAGGAACAGGTGTATTAGGCGGCCCCTTCATGTGCAGAGGATATAAAAAGGCATATAAAAAATATCCAAAGCCCAAGGAACGGAGTGTTTACTTCCATAACTGACATATCTCTTCATAGTGGGCAACAGAACACAGAATAAAATAGCAATAGACAGCACATGTTTTTTTAAAATGTAATCTCTTCCCTGTATTTCGCCCCAAAGATACAGTTGAGAGTACAAGTGCTTTAGATGATGACATACAAGAACTACTCTGGCGAATCTTGCAGTGAGGGTTACAGGTTAATAGTAGATGGACATATTCAAGAGTGTGGTGTGCGAAAAATAAGAAGACTTTGTTGTTTGGAGAATAGGTTGGTGTTTAGTAGGATAGTTGAACAAAAAATGTTACAATGGTTGTCTTATATGCTTGGTATCATATATACATTCTCATCCCATAGTCGCTATGGATATTGTCGAGATCTACAGAGATGTAACAAACACCATATGATAACTTGGACCTGAAAGGCCTCCTAGGAGCAGAGCCAAAGGGTACGAGCAGAGGAACAGAGGGAGACAAGGCGGCCCCTTCATGTGCAGAGGATATAAAAAGGCATATAAAAAATATCCAAAGTCCAAGGAACGGAGTGTTGACTTCCATAACTGGCATATCTCTTCATAGTGGGCAACAGAACACAGAATAAAATAGCAATAGACAGCACAAGAATTTTTAAAATGTAATCTCTCCCCTGTATTTCACGACAAAGATACAGTTGAGAATACAAGTGCTTTAGATGATCACATACAAGAACTACTCTGTCGAATCTTGCAGTGAGGGTTACAGTTTAATAGTAGATGAACACATTCAAGATATTGGTGAGCGAAAAATAAGAAGACTTTGTTGTTTGGAGAATGTAGTTGTGTTTAGTAGGATAATCGCGCAAGGAATGTTACAGTGGTTGTTTTAAATGGTTGATATCATACATACACTCTCCTCTAATGGACGCGGTGGATATCGTCAAGATCTGCAGAGATGTAACAAACACCATATGATAATTTGGACTTGAAAGGCCTCCAAGGACGAGAGTGGAGAAAAGAGAGTACTAGGAACGAGGAGGAAAGGCTAGAAACGGATGATGTTTATTATACAGGAAGAGAGTGGTATTTATACTAGTGTACAGAGGGCGTGGTTAAGGAAGGCGAAGTAGGAAAGAGGTGGGGGCATGGTTAAGGAGGGCGAAGTAGAAAGGAAGTGAAGGCGTGGTTAAAGAAGGCTAAGTAGAAACTCTCTATGATACGAAGGCAAAGTAAGAGAACAGTCTACGATACTATCACATCTTGCAGAGCGGAAAGGCTTGTGAGGTTCCTGCTAATGTTAATTTCAAATATTGGAAGAGATAAATCCATTGCAGACGACTTTTAAGCAACGTGGTATTGTAAGCAGTAGAGACGCTCTGTTGCGTCGATCTGCTGAGATTAAGCCATATGTTGTAAAGATTTGTTCGAAAGAACAACATCTCTTTTTTTCTTTTTTCTTTCTGGGCTCAATTTAAGGGCAGTTTAACATATGCCTTAGAGGTTGGGTTGTGCGGATGGTCGAGTTGATTTCTAGTGGGTTGAGCCTCGTGTATCTGTATTGAATGGGCCGGCTGCAGGTTCTATCTCTCTTAACGTCACCCCCTCTCACTCTTAACGTCACCCCCTCTCACTCTTAACGTCACCCCCTCAAATTCTTAACGTCACCCCCACTCAAATTCTTAACGTCACCCCCTCTCACTCAAATCATGGATAACTGGCTTGTGGCAGCCAAGCGTTCATAGCGACGTTGCTTTTTGATCCTTCGATGTCGGCTCTTCCTATCATACTGAAGCAGAATTCAGTAAGCGTTGGATTGTTCACCCACTAATAGGGAACGTGAGCTGGGTTTAGACCGTCGTGAGACAGGTTAGTTTTACCCTACTGATGAAATGTTGTTGCAATAGTAATTGAACTTAGTACGAGAGGAACCGTTCATTCGGATAATTGGTATTTGGGCCTGCCTGAGCAGGCAATGGCCCGAAGCTATCATCCGTTGGGTTATGGCTGAACGCCTCTAAGTCAGAACCCGTGCTAGAACGCGACGATTACCGCCTTTTCCGATTTTTAGTTGAATACGAATAGATCCTCGGATCCTGAATCATACTACGTGGGGTTATCTTGCAGAGCGGAAAGGCTTTGTGAGGTTCCTGCTAATGTTAATTTCAAATATTGGAAGAGATAAATCCATTGCAGACGACTTTAATTGAACGGGGTATTGTAAGCAGTAGAGTAGCCTTGTTGCTACGATCTGCTGAGATTAAGCCCATTGTTCTATAGATTTGTTCGAAAGAACATCTCTCTCTTTCATTCATTCTTTTTTTTCTTTACTTTTCGACTGGATTTTAAGGGCTATTTCCACTTTGTTCTATCCCGCAACTTGCAACTTGGTCAATTTTTCTTTACAGACGATGCTGAGATTAAGCACCATGTTGTAAAGATTTGTTCGATAGAGCAACATCTCTCTCTCTTTTTTATCATGGCTTATTAGGGCTGTTCTTTTTTTCTGCATAATCTTGGACTCAAAAAAGAATTTCTTACAATACTCTGTAAATTAAATGTTTACAAGGGTGTATGAATGAACGTGTACAATGAGTAAAGATTCGATG